AGATATTTTATAATCATTTGGGTTTATGATCCATTTCTTGTTTATTTTATGGCTAGCCCTTTGTTCAGCATCATTTGTTGAAAAGACTACTGTTTTTCTCTTGAACTGCTTTCGTACTTTTGAAAGTCAATTTTGTCTAATGCTATTTTTTTGCTTCTACTAAGATTAATTTGTATATTGCTATATTTGATTTGCTAACATTTTGACATAGATTTTTTACACATACATAAAAATTAGAAATGCTGATCTGTAGTTTTCTTTGTTTTGTCTTGATATTTGAGCCTCATTAAAGGAGTTAAGTTATTTTCTTTCCTATTTTGTTTTCTGGAAGGATTTGTGTTACTTCTGAAATGTTAGAATTCATTAGTAGAGCCATTTGGGACTGAAGTTTTCTTTGTTGAAGACATTTTAGTTGTGATTATATTTTTCTTCAATGGGGAGAGGAGACTTTTAGATTTTTTTAGCAAGTTCTTGTAGGGTATTTTTCCAGAAGTGTGTCCATTACAATGAAGTTGTTGGATTTATGGACATGCAGTTGTTAGTAAAATTTCATTATTATCCTTGTAATATCTGTTACATATATGGTTCTGTCCCCTCTATCAATAATTACATCTTAGTAATTATGGTCTCTCATGTCTTGTTTAGTCTTGTTTTGTTAATCTTTTTAAAAGGCCTATTTTTGGTTTTATTGATTTTTCTGTTTTCAGTGTCATTAATTTGTGTTTATATTATTGATTCTGTCATTTTGTTTGCTCTGACTTCCTGTCATTTTCTCTGACCTAGTTATGTAAAAGTCTTTTGTTTAATTTGTAGATGTTAAACATTTCCCAGATATGTTTCTTTTTTTTTTTTTTGGACTACTGATTTCTGGTTAATTTGGTAAGAACATTTTGTGTAAATTCTGGTGATTTTTTTTTCTTTTTAATCTATTGAGGTTGATTTTATGGCTCTGAAAATTTATCTATCTTGGAGAATGTTCTGTGTGTACTTGAGAATATATTTTTTTTGTTGGGTGGAATATTCAGGGAATGTCAGTTTGGTAGATAGTCCCAGATGTCCTATAACATATTAATTTCAGGTGTACAGCATGATTCATTATTTGTTGTACTGCAGAATGATCACTGTAATGTCTAGTTAAAACCCACCACAGTACATAATACAACATTTTTTTCTTGTGATAAGAACTTTAAGATTTACTCTGAGAACTTTTAGGATTTCAGCGACTTTAAAATATGCGACACTATTATTAAATAGAATCACCATGCTGTACATTATATATCCATATCTTATTTATTTTATAACTGGAAGTTTATACCTTTTCCCATTTAACCCATTACCCCATCCTCTGCCTCTGACAGCTGTGACTGTGTTCTCTGTATCAATAAGTTTCGTTTTTTTAAACATTTGGCATATGAGATTATGTAATATATGTCATTCGCTGATTAATTGATTTTACATAGGATAATGCTTTTGAAATCCATCCACATTGTTGCAAAAATAACAAGATTTGGTTCTTTTTTATGGCTAAATAATAGCCCGTTGAATATACGTGTATATATCACATCTCATTATATACGTTAATATATAATATGTATTATATATTTCATTTTGTTTATCTGTTCATCCATCAAAGGACCCTTAGGTAATTGCCATATCTTGGTCTTTGTAAATAACAGTACAGTGAACAGGGGGATACATGTATCTTTTTGAGCAAGTGTTTTTATTTATTTCAGCTTAATATCTAGAAGTGGGATTGTGTGATCATGTGGCACTTTTGTTTTTAATTTTTTGAGATACCACCCTACTGTTTCACATAGTAGCTACAATAATTTACATTCCCATAAACAGTGTACAGGGTCCCCTTTTCTACACACCCCTTATAATCATTTTGTTTATCTTTTTAATAATGGCTGTTCTAACATGAATGAGGTGTTATCTCATTTAATTTTGATTTACATTTCTATGGTGATCAGTGACTTTTCATGTACCTGTTGACCTGAATTTCTTTGGGGAAACAAATTTTTAGATCCTCTACTATTCATCCTAGCTCGATATGTAGCAATATATTTTTCCTCCACCTTAGCAGCATTCTTTTTCATAAGGCTACCTGTCATCTGCAACTGATAGTCCATTTTCGTGGCAGTAACATTCACAATAGGCCAGAATATTGACCTTTGATTTTGGAGTGATAGAACAAAGCTAAAAAAGGGTAAAGATAGCCTCCAATTGGGATCCTTCCTTTTTGTCTCCCCCTTATGGGGTATATTGTTTTCATCTCTCTTTCCTGATAGGCCATACTCACCTTTGCCATGTCTTCTTTTACCTTTCTCTTTAGTAGTCATTGTCTTCTGCTTTCTGAGCACTTCTTACAGAACTCTGAAAAGCTGACTGAAGCATCTGGTGCTTCTCTTGTGCTCTTTCTGACATAAAAAAATACATATAATGACATCTTGCCTCTTAGCTTCTTCAGATCTCCTTTGCCCATTTTTAATTATTTTTCTTCAGTGAGCAGAGATGCCCAGTGTCCATCCAGCTCTCAATTGCTCTGGTGTTCAAATTTCATTCTTTCTGCATCAAATTTCATTCTTTTTGCATATGGTTACTTTATTTTCCCAGCACTATATATTGTAGAGAATGTCTTTCCCCATTGTATATTCTTGATGGCTTTGATGTAGAACAATTGACCACGTATGTGTGGATTTCTTTCCGGGCTCTCTTTTGTTCTATTAATCCATGTTTTTATGCCCCTACTTTACAGGCTTGATATCTATAGCATTGTAACATAATTTGAAGTTAGGGAGCATCATGTCTCCAGGTTTTTTCTTAAGATTTGTCTGGCTATTCAGGGTCTTGTGTAATTTCATACGAGTTTTGTGAGAAAAGTCATTGGGGTTTTGACAGGGATTACAGTAGATTGTTTTAGATAGCATGAATATTTAAACATTATTATACAACATTCCATCTCAAAAAAACAAGATACACATTCGTCTCAAGTATACCACAGAACAATCCACACTTATATGGTCAGTTAATCTACATCAAAGGCATCAAGATATATAATGAGAAAAAGACATTCTCTTCACTATATGGTTCTGGGAAAACAAAGCAAACATATGCAAAAAGAATGAAATTTGAAAACCAGAGCAAGTGAGAGCTGGATGGGCACTAAGCAACTCGGCCTCAGGATAGATCATGTGTTAGATCGCAAAACAGGTCTTAATAAATTTTAAAAGGCTTGGAATTATATCAGCATCTTTGTTGAGCAAAATGATATGAAACAATAAATCAATTATTGGACAATAACTGGAAAGTTCACAAATATGTGGAGATTGAACAACATGCTATTGAATGACTGTGGGTCATTGAAAACATCAAAAGAGAAAGTTAAAAAATACCTTGAGACAAATAAAATTGGAAATACAACAAAGTTAAAGTCATACAGTTCAGGGAAAGCATTTGAAAGAGACAAGCTCATAACTAAATCCATACATCAAGAAACAAGTAAAATCTTAAATAAGTAACTTAATTTTGTACCATAAAGAATAATGTCCAAAAAAAGTAGAAGGAAGGAAGTAACAGATCAGTAAATGAATTAAATCTAAAATGACCAACCTTTAGCTAGACTTAGACCCAAGTAAAATAAAATCAGAAACAAAAGAGGACATGATACTACAGATGTTCTGATACCACAGGAAAACAAAGAACCATAAGAGACTACAATAAATAATCATGTGTCAACAAACTTAATAATTAGAAGAAATGAACTCCTAGAAAAATATAGGCTAACCTAACAATCCTGAATTATGAAGGAATAGAAAATATGAACACAATCAGAAACCAGAAACCTCCCAACAGATGAAAGTTGGGACCACGTGACTTCACTGATTAATTCTATCAGTCAAAGAAGAACCAATAGCAGTCTGTCTTCAAAAAAACAGAAGACTTCCAAATTCATTTTGTGAGTTAATTCACCCGTATAACAAACTCAGAGACAAAGATTTCACAAGGAAAGAAAAAAAAGATAGACCAATATCCATTATAAACAGATTTTAAAAACCCTCAATAAAATATTAGCAAACTGAATTCAACAATATTTAAAGGATCATATACCATGATAAAGTGGAAATTTTTCAACATCTGTAAATCAGTCGTTGTGATATATACTACATTAACACAATGAGAGGAAAATCATATAACCATCTCAGTAGATGCAAAAGAAACATTCAACAAAATTAAACAACTATTTGTGATAGACTCAAAATAAATTGTTTATAGAGGGAACCTCAACATCGTAAAGGCCCTATATAAGAATCCCAAAGCTGATATTAGACTCAGTGGTGAGAAAACTTTTTCTGGAAGGTCAAGACCAAGAAAACCACGCTCACCCAAGATAGTATTGGAAGTCCTCCCCGCCAGTGTAATTAGGTAAGAAAAATGAATATAAGACAACCAAATTAGAAAGGAAGTAAAACTGTTACTACTCGCAGATGAGTCTTTTAAAAAATTAAGAAAGTAGATAAATTTTAAGTACTATTATTTTGTAGTTGCAAATTTTTATTTAAAAATCTATATAATTAGGCCCTCCCTGGTGGCGCAGAGGGTTGTTAAAGCACAGCACTAAGAAGCTTAAGTCACTTATGCATGAGTTCGAACCCCGCCCACCCTGGAGGTGATCTACATGGCAAGGCAGACCTCTCCTGACCTGCCTGCTGCTCCTCTCTGCAGTGTACTTCGTAGATCTGCCTGTTCTGCTCCCCACTCTGTCTATGGTGAATCCGCTCACCCTTGGCATCTCTGCCTCTACCCCAGTTCTGTATGAATAAATAAATAAATCTTTTTAAAAATCTATATAATTAATCTAAAGTGGTAAATATCTGAGTTTAAATTCCTGGAGTTCTAATTTTTAGACTTTCTACATACATCTTTAGCCACACCCCCTTATTTTAGTAAATAAATCTTAGGTAATTAGCAAAAACTAATATTTTCTTTTCCACTTTTAGTGTTAAATGTTTACAAAAGACAGTGAAAGATTCTTACCACATAATGTGTAGACCATGTGCATCTGAACTTGAAGTTTGTGCAAAATGTGGAAAGAAAGAAGACATTGTTAGTCCGTGAGTATTTTTTTCTGTTTGCATTTTACTCTTTAAGTAATAACATGCTTATTTTATTTTAAGAAAACAAGTTCTTTTAGAATCTAAGTTGAAGTATATCATATTCATGTAGACCTTTTTCTTTCTAATAGATAATTTTAATTATTCATGAAATTTTTAGAGTTAAAATTACATAGTTAGGAAGTTAAAATACTTATCTATGAGGTTCACATTCATTATTTATCACAGACTAATTATTTAGTGCTAACAACTTTGATGGATATGATTATTAACTTCTCTGAGTCAAATTTATTGATGACAGTATTATAATTGGTTGGATTTGTGGTAAGTTAGTCTTCATGATCTTTCTCTGCTATACTTATTTCATTAGATATCTTGCTGTGAAAAAATAGTGTATAGTATCCTTCAGTCTACAAAGTTAAGTTGTGAAAGCCTGAAAAATAATTAGAAGTTTTCTTTTTCCATCTTTAGGTTTAATAAAGAACCAGAAAAGACAGAAAATACTGAAAATAGCATACACTTCAACCATAGAAGAAGCCACAGAGCAAATAAAGAAGAAAGTAATGATGATTTAGATTTTGATGCTGATTTAGATGACACAGAAAATGACAATCAAATGCATTAATGTATATATATTAAAAGTCATTATGTAAATATGAAATTCTGAACAAGTTTTCATTGAGTGCTTTATGAAAAAATATTCGAAAATCCTAACAAGTCAGAAAAACCTATAGAAAAGAGTCACAGTTTATACATGAACAAACTTTTTGTGATATTTGAATTATTACAAAACTTTCACCTGGAGTTTTATCACAATAACTTTTAAGTATTGTGTGTTATATTTGCCAATTGAATACTCAAGTATCTTATTGTAACTCATGGGAGTCATTTTAAAGAATATACTACCTAACATCAAACTGAACGAGTTGCAGAATTATGGTTGTATAAGAACTATCTCATATAAAAATCAGATGACATCATTATTGGCTAGCCTCAAAAACTACTCATCAATGAGTAAATTTTGATAGATTGATCTCAACTGCCTGCATGGCAAAAGAGCTTAAGTTTGCTTGTTATAAAGCAAAACGTTTATTTTTGTATAATAGTGTTTAACTACTGTTGCTGTTTTTCATTGAAAGTATTTTTACACATCCCATCACATTTTTTACCTTTTTTTGTCTTGTGATCCAAAGGTACTGGGAAAATACATAAAATGTATATGTAGAGTTTAATAAATAGATTTAAAGGAAAACCATACAGCTATCACCCCAATGAAGAACTACTCCTAAAAATACAACTTAACTGTGTTTGATTTCTGAGCTCTTCCCCACCTAAATCCCCCATAAAATTTATATCTAAAGCAGTGAAATGATAGAATAAACTTTGTGTCTTCAGCTAAATTAAGAAGTGCAGATACTGCTTTTGAACTTTATATGAGTCATCTTATGCTTTGTTGTTATTTTGTACTTGTTCTTTATGTCAATGTTATGAAATCTGAGACTGACCCATGTCATTGTAATACCATTAATTTGTTCACTTTATAATGTTTTATTCCATAATATTTACGTAGCATACTTTTATACTAATTTTGATATGCACTTGAGTTATTTCAATTTTTTTTCTATTGCAAATAATACTCCTGTGAGAGTCATTCTGTATACATGTCTTCTTGGTACATGTCTTGTTTCTTGGCACACATTGCAGTAGCAGAGGTCATTGTGTGTATGTCTTCAGTTTTACTGTATGTATAATGCCAAATGTCTTTCTAGAAGTATTGTTACCTTCCTTCCCTGTATGTATTCCCAAATGTATTTATGTTACATGCTCTGCGTCTTTTCTAGCACTCAGTATCATACCTTTTAATTTCTCTCAGTTTGATAAGGCTATAAATATCCCTTTGTCTTATAAATTTGTGTTTTCCTAATTACTGATAATCCTAGCCTCTTCTTATGTTTATTGACTGTTTGGTTTTTCAATAATAGATGATAATCGGGAATCATTTGATAAACTTCAGTGATGTTATTTAAGAAAAATATACTGAATTATTGAAGGAAATAATGACAATTTACTTCAAGGTATCTCATCATTTAAAAAAAGTCAAGAAAAGGCCTCTTGATAGCACAGGGGTTAAAGTCTCAGTGCTATCATCAGCTACTGTAGCATGAGTTCCATTCCGTGCCAGGAAGCTGTCCCACAGGTTGCAGCAGATCCTTCCTGTCTCACCCGCTGCTCCCCTGTGCACTTTGTCAGTCTGCCTGTTCTGCTTCCCACTCTGTTTCTGGTGAAACCTCTTACCGCCCCCACCTCCACATCTCTGTCCTACACCACAGTTTTGTATGTTACACTACAGTTTTGTGTGCATAAATAAATAAAAATACAGTCAAGCCATACATAACATTTCAATGACATCAAAAAATTATGTAGTACTTTAAGAATTAATTTTTTTAATATTCAAGAACTGTTGAAAAAAACATTTAAAAATCTGGCCTTTCCTGGTGGCACAGCAGGTTAAAGCACACCATTAAGAAGCTAAAGCCACTACAGCATGAGTTCGAACCCCGCCCGCCCTGGAGTTGATCCACATGGCCAGGCAGACCTCTCCTGATCCGCCCACTGCTCTCTTCAGCAGTGTACTTCCTTGACCTGCCTGTTCTGCTCCCCCACTCTGTCTCTGGTGAATCCTCTCGCCACCCCTGCACCTCTGGCCTGTACCCCAGTTCTGTACACATAAATAAATAAATCTTTAAAAAAAAATTTAAATCTCATCAAGCCATTAAAAAATACAGAGAAAGGCCCTCCCTGGTGGCGCAGTGGGTTAAAGCACAACACTGAGAATCTAAAGCCACTTCCGCATGAGTTCAATTCCCACCTGCCCCACAGGTGACCACATGGTGTGGCAGACCTCTCCTGACCCGCCCTCTGCTCCCCTCAGCAGTGTACTACGTTGATCTGCCTGTTCTGTTCCCCACTCTGTCTCTAGTGAAGCCTCTCGCCGGCCCTGAGCCTCTGGCCAGTACCCCAGTTCTGTATGTACAAATAAATAAAAATAAATCTTTAAAAAAAAGTAGAAAGAATAAATGGAGGTATAATGTTAATGATGTGGAACTCTCAGTATTTTAAGCTTATAGACTTTCTAAGAAAATTTCTCTCCCCTGCCTTTGTGTGGCTTACTTTTTGCATATAAATTTGTTTTGTGGACTCTGTTGCTTTTAGTTAAAGAGCCAGCTAAATTGTTTCTAGACTAGCATAAATCCTTTCCCTGGTTGAGTTTTAATTCCTCAGATAACTAGAAGAGAAGTCTGACAAAGAGCATCACCTAGTGACATACTCTAATAGCTGCATTTCATTGTTAAGTGTTAAAGAGGGTGTCAGATTTTTTTTTCTTTTAAGCAGACTAATCAATACATTTATATTTCTTTAGGAATTATCCTTTTTACTTTAAAAAATTATTGGAACTTAGCAGGTAAAATGAGATGATGGCTTTGTTTTGTTTTAATATAACAAGTCAGTTTAATATAGTAAATTTATCATACCCTGATATTTGACAGGCTACCAAAAGTGCATTATATAATCTGGAACTTTAGTGTTTTGCTACAGGATTCCTAAAACTGACAACCATAAAAATTTTCTGAGGAACTTTACTCATATTCCTAAGATACTGTGGTTCATTTGGTATAGAATATAGGCCCAGGAATTTCGGCCCCACCCCTTTTCCAGGGGACTGTAATCATCAGCTGCATCAGATACAATAAGTTGTGTGTGGCAAAAGCCCCTTACTTCTGCCAGCTGTCAGAATATTTTACCCTTTCTCCTCTTTCACAGACCCTCTTGAGAGCAGAAGTGGCCATGTAAGGGGAGTCTCTCCCATGGTGAGTTCTAGAATAGATTGGCCTAACTGACAAAAAAGAAGAACTTCTCTTCTTTGCTCAAATGTGGGAGTGAGAAGACTGATGTCTAAATCTTGCAACAGTGATGAGGAAACCACATGAGCCACAAAGATAGTCATCCAGAATCTGACTGTTGAGTTGAAATAAGAACTTTCAGCCCATCCACTCCTACAATTAATATATTATCTTTATAATATATTACAATTCACCCCTGTGAATTAATACATCTAACCCTCTTGTCAAGCCCCTGGAAACCAAGCCACAAAAAGATTGACTAATTTGTACCAAGCCACACATCTACTGACAGAGCCAAGATTTAGGTATCTGATTCCAGAAGCCGTGCTTTTCAGGTATTAATATTCTATGGCATGTCAAAAGCACTTCGAAATGTAAAGAGAAGTTTTTGTTGAATGACTACATGGCTGGAGCATGTTATATGTGACTAAAAGGACTTGGAGTAAGAATGGTGATAATAGAGTAATGGTGTACATTAATTGAATAAATTATGACTGAACATCCACTGTGAGAGACAATGTTCAAGCTATGGGGTACAGAAGTAAAATCTTTAAAGATCCTTTTTATTTTTCCAGAGATAACCATTTCGTGGCTGGAGAAAATAAACAATAAACATACAAGCAAATTAGATGTTAGGTGAAGAATTCTATGAAAAAATTCAGGTCTATGAGGGTGATTGGAAATCTGTGGGCAAGGATGAGGGGGTGAGAGTGCACAAGTGGGTGTAAAGTGAGCTTTGAATATTAAGTGTCCAGTGTAGACCTCAGTCAAAAAGTGGCATTTGAGCAAAGTCGGAAAAGGAGTCAAATATGTTGGGGAAGACTGTTCTAGGCAGAGGAGATAGCTCATGTAAGGTCTTTAGAGCCAGATTATGCCCGATGTGCTCAGAGAAATAGCAAAGTGAGTGATTAAGTTGGGGAGTCAAAAGAGGTAATATCTAGAGATTATGGAAGGCCAAATCATATGAAACCTGTTTTTAAGATGAGTTTCTGATTTCTATGATGTGATTTTCTTGTGCTGCTAAAGTTTTTCTGAGTTCTTCAAATTTGTTGGTATTCTTAAACAGATTTGGAAAATTGTTGGCTATTATTTCTTCAAATACTCCTTTTACTCTCTTCTTTCAGAACTCCAATTACATATGTTGCTATAGCTTTTTCCTTGGGTTCTATGTCTGCCTTTGCTCTTTCCTTTTTCCATTTGGAAAAACACTTCCAATATTTTCTGTTGGCCTTTTGTTGCTTTCATTAATTCTGTTTTCTAAATATTAGGATAAATGTACTCAGTCTGGTTTTCTAATACATTCTTAGTCTTAGATACTGAATCTTGCAATTCTTAAATGTTAATTTGGTTTTTTATAGATAACTTGAAATATTCTCTTATCACCTATCTTGTATACTTTTTTCCTCTATTTTCTTTGACATATCAATCATAGTTATCTTGAAGTCTTTGTTCACTTTAGTTTGCTTTTATTGATTATTTTATCTCAATTATTAGCCACACTCTTCTACTTCGCACATTTAACAATTTTTATTGTATGCTAAAAATTATGAATGATACATTATAGAGACTTCCTCTAAAAAATAAATTAACTCACCATGTTCCTATTAAGACTTGTTTTTAAGCTTGGTTAGAGGTGGTCTATTTTAGTTTAACTCATATTTCTAGAATTCATTATTCTTGTCTCTTACTCCAATGTTGTCTTTATTCTTAGGTATGTGTTTTGTGGGCTGCTAACTTAATACCAGGTGTGTTTACAAAGTTATTTCCATAATGAGTAAGTCTGAATACCACCACTGGGTGACCTCTGAAGTCTCTGTTTGGATGTCTGTCTCCTGGCTTCTCTCCCAGGAGTCCTCAAGTTGTGCCCAATGTGTATACAGATTCGTGGTGCTTAGAGTGATCAGATAAGTAGAAAGAGAGCAAAGAAATGCCCTAGAAGCATGTGCACACATACTGAGTGCTTTCTATGCCCTTCACTGCTCTAATATAAGCCCTTTAGATGACAGGCCATTGAATGTTATGATACTATGTGGTGATAATAATCATTACCTATATTTACAAATGAGAATTTGAGGTTAAGTAACTTGACATGCAGCCAAAGAGTAGTTGGCCCAGGGCTCGAACCTCTTTAGAGGCCATATCTGATCCAAGACCTGTTCTACACATTGGGGTTAGTCAGCATAAAAACAGTATGTGAATTGCTGTTCCAGGGCGCTGTTGACAATGATCCATCTGCCACCCTTTCCTCGACCATTATTTCAGACAATTTAAAACTCTCTTTTTCCCCTGAAGAACTCTTGGGTTCCAGTTATCATTGAACAATGTTTAGGTGTTTAACCCCTGTTGATGCACATGAGTTCAAATCACTTTTTTAATACTCTACTTGATGGCTGTTGTTATTTCCACATATGAAACATAATGCCTTAATATTTCTAGTTAGGTATTACTGCTTTATGTGAGAAATGATTACATAATGGAAGGAATACAGAAAAGTCTCATTGTCATCAAAAGGTTTTTGGAAACTAACATTAAGCAAAATTACAGAGCATAATGGCATTTTATTTAATGGAAGCCAGTATTTTATTTTTTTAATCAACATGATAACAAAACAATGTTGACTGAAACATATAGGTGTTAAGTGATTATCACCTAATAAGTAATAATTATCAGAAGTTAAAAAGGTGTTATATGTACTTGGTGCTTCTACAGCTCAGAGGCTACCTTATCAAAGTCAAAAGGGTAAATACAGCATTTGAAATTTAAACCAATATGGCTCTATAGGCTATATTCTTTCCACTATTGTACATTTGTGCAAAATTACAAATAGTCTATGTTCCTAAATATTTTTTTCCTTAATTAAGTGAAATTTGTAATAATGTTCAGATAGTCCAGGTTTTAGGGGAGGAATGGCTTGTGCTGGCTGAGCCCTGAATCCCTGAACCCTTGGGTCATCTGATGCCCTGGGCTGGGTACAAATTACCCAGGTTTTTCTGAAATCTGAATACTGGCAAGCTGGATGGGGTGACAGCACTCTTCTGTTTGCCAAAATGCAGCCGAAGGCGGGGCTGCTGGTAGTGGATGGAGTGGAATGGCCATGGGGGTTGATGCAGCTGGCCCTTCCTGTGCACTACGACATGGCTGACCTGCTCATTCTTGCGTGATGGTGGACGTCTCCAGGCCTGGGGCTCTCTGGTCTGGGCTGGGCATGGCTCCAGGCAGCCAGCCCTCCCTGTGTACAGTAGGCTTCTCCCCTCTCCTCACTATCTCTTCTGCATGAGGGGCCAGTGGCTTTCCTCCAGCTTCAGCTTTTGGTTGGGTTTAGCAATGCAAACTCTGTGGGGTAGGACAGGCTGCATTGGCCACTGCTGTTCTCTCTTAGCTCTCCTTTTCCTCACTCCCTCTTAATAAACCCTGCCATTTTTTCTGTTTTCGATTTGTGTTCTAAGTCTCGAGAGCAAGGATGACGACCTACTCACTGGGTCATGCCTTCCCCTTGGATTTGCCTGATTTCTGTATCATTAACTTGAATATACCTTTATGGTTATAAC